GGCCTGGGCCTATCCCTGACCCTGAAGAGGCCTGGGCCCTACCAAGAAGAGATGTGGGCCTGGGCCTATCCCTGACCCTGAAGAGGCCTGGGCCCAACAAGAAGAGATGTGAGCCTACTCTTGAAGAGCAGCAGGAGCAACAATAACAACACAGCTCTAAAGCCTTTAGTCATCAGCCTTATTGCACACGTCCTGCGCTAACATGTGTATAAGTTTGAATACATTAAGGTTATGTACAACAATGGCTGCTCCTGGATTGTTTATTTTGGCTCTTTCTCTATAGTAATAACATTGAGCTACTGATGAACAGGCTCTGATGGATACTCACAAACAGGAGGTTAGGTAGCTTCATGTATACAGCACATCTGTATGCTCAGACCTCATCCTCAAGATCGGCACCTCTGTCCATGGTCTGTATCTTAGCCATTTGTGGGAGTCTCTAAAAAAATTAAATAAAGGCTAGTGAAAGGTGCTAGGTAGGTAGGAGCCCTTACCTAGTTATAAAATCACTGAGATAAAATTTCTAAATTGGAGGGACAGCTCCCAACCCCATCCAGTGAGCAAATCAGATGAGTACCCATTGCTGCAGAGGTGCTGATGAAGGTCTGGGAGGCAGAGGGGTGTGAGAAGGCTCAGTGTGGATCACAGGACACCAGGCATCGGAAATTGTCTTCCAGTGAGACTCCACAGGAAGATGAATGGACCCCACTGGTATCCTCTGCGTGGTGCCACAGCACAGGGAGGGACAGGCTCAGGTCCAAGGACAGTAAAGTGTGCTGTGCTCCTTCCCTTAGAGAACCAGAGGCTGGCGGGTTGCAGCTCTGAGCTGGCTCCTGGAGGGACAGGTGGCAGATGTGTTGGTGTGTTCCATGTTGATACTCACAGACACGGGAAGGGTGTCTTGTAGAAATGACATGGAAACTGCACCCCTGAAAACACAAAATATGGGAGCCAAAATGAGACAGAAACAAGGGGAATACCACTGGACGTGCTTTTACGGGTAGGAGGGGAAACTCATGGGGACTCTTCCCGAGACGAGGAGCTGTAGGGAACTAAGCATTGCCGATGGAGGGAGAATTAGTTGTCCAGAGATGAATCCCCTACCTGGTTATCCAGTACCTAGTACTCAGACCTGTAACACACATGCACACATCACTGAACAGGCGCAGCCTACGGTAGGTTTAAATCTTAGCATTTTTCTGTAAACATCTGCCAATAATGAAAACATGTCATCATCATTCTGAGAGGGGGAGAGAAGGAAAATGGCTACAATTCGAGCAAGAAGGATAGCGCAATGGTGTGATTTTATTTTCACTCTACAAATTATAAATGTAACTATTTAGTGGAAGACTGGCTGGGTGAGAACTCCTATTGTAATATGTGTGCAGTGAGACAGCGGTCCTGTGTTGTGTTGTATTTCAACACTCTCGTCTCCACACCTAGACCTCCCTTCTCCCAAGAAGACACCCGCACAGACATTACAACATCGTGTTGACAAGGGGGTTCTGTGGTGACAGGGAGAGTTACCTGGAGCCTTTAAATCAGCTGACACCCCGGGATATAATTAGTGCTCTGTCCTCTCCCATGCCACCCACACATTCCCCAAGCCCCATCTCACATTAAACCAATTCCCACTGTGCCGCCCTCATCTGGGAGGAAGAAACACAGAAGTGAGGACTGTGAGTTTCTCACTTCTCACTGCAGCAGCAGAACCCTGGGCTGCCTTTTGTTTCCGGTTTATACCGGTACCTGAGTACCGAGTACCAGGGTCAGACTCCAGGAAACCCGGAATTAGCCTATAAATGTGTTTTTCAATTTCCTAATTACTTTTAAATATAACGCAACTATTTCCCCACACCTCAAATGCACTTACAAGAATTTTGTATTATCTACATAAATATTAAACCATTTTCACTTTTATGCAAATAATATGGATTCCTGTCAAGAATAAATCTTTTGAGATGTATATAATTTACTGTGAAAAACCAATGAAAGGCTCTGGGAACATAAAGAACTTGTTTATAATATTTATAATAATGTTTATAATATTTATAATATTGCTTGTTAAGTTCCATCTAGTACACATTGAGTGCCCAAATCATACAAGAATTCTTAACATGTAGTTTTCAATATCCAAAACATCCAACTCTTTAGTTAACATCATTTTGTCCACTTCTAATACCTGGATTGATTTTTTTTGTCATTAATATGATTTTTAATAAATGGAATAATGCACCATTTTACAGCAAGCCTTTTTAAACCTAAAGAACTTAATAGATCCAAAAAGCAAGTTCTAGGCCAGCCAGAGAGACCCTGGCTCAAAAATAAAAAAACAAAAGAATAATACAAGTCAGGAACCAAAGCCCCAAATTTGAGGGCAGCCTGCGTCACAGAGTGAAATCCCGTCGCAAAACACCAAAACCAACCATACAACAAAAGCCAGTCAACACTTCTGGAAACAGCCTTC